TCTCACGCTGAAATGGACGTGGCGGAGCAGGTCGAAGTGCTGGGCGTACATGCGGAAGTACTCCATGACCTTAGAGTTGTGCATGTAGTTGGGGAAGTCCTCGGGGATGGGGAAGTCGCTGAAGCACATCATCTCCTTGGAGGCGTTGATGATGAGAGAGCGGTAGATGCTGGCGCGGCCCTCCTCAGGGTGCTCCTGCGGGAGCGGGGCACAGCTCAGCACTGGTGTGGGAAGCTGAGGCTGTGGTTTGCAGTGGACACCTGCCTCCCCTGCCTGGTGCCTCACTGTGCCCGTGGGTGCAGGACTAAGCCAGAGGTGGTCGTAGCACCCATCGCTGCACCCAGCACCCTCCCACTGATGCAACCCTGCAAAATTGGGAAGAGGAAGCTCTGGGTTGGCGGGGGCCATGCAGTGGTGACAGTGGGTTGTGGGGTCTTGTGCCTCAGTTTTCCGGCTCCCACCCCCAGCCCCAATGAGGCGGTGTGTTCCCAAAGCTGCCTGTGGTGCCATTGCCCTGGTTGCCATATCAGGTCTTGCCAGTTGCTGAGCCAGCTCCAGCGCCTCTGGCTGTGCGGCTGCTCTTACTCGCTGGGTCTCTGCTCAGGCAGCTGGGTGCTGCTGCCCTGGCTCTGCTCCACCAGCCCCATTTCTGACCTACCACAGGCAGAACCAGTGGACTGTAACCAAGCCACCCCAAACTCCGTGTTGGTGTGGTGTAGTGTGTGTCCCCCCTGGACTCTCCCACTTGCATGTCAGGGCATGGTGGTGAGGCTTGTCTTCTTCTTGGTGGGTCCCCAGGGAAAAGTCAGCAGCCTCATTAGGTGGGGGCAGAAACGAGCTCCGGGGCTTCCCCCGAGGCAGGGAGAGCCAAGGCACAGAGGAGGCAGCGCTCGGTGCCTCTGCATGAGCAAGCGGCACAGAAGCAGGGAGAGGAGTGACTGGGACTTCCAGGGAAGGGCTGGGCAGGACAGGGACTGGGACTGCCAGCGGGGTCAGGTGGGACTAGGATGGGTAGGAAAAGGCTGGAGGGGACCAGCAGCAAAGCAGCAAGGGAAGGGATGGATGAGGCGAGGAAGGTATGGATGAAACTGGGAAGGGAGGGATGGGAAGGGGGAAGGCTGAGCCCAGGGAGTGGGTCCTTGGGGAGGGTCTGTCCTGCTGCTGGTGGGAGGAAGGTGGGTCCGGTGTGGCCGACACACCAGCTGGCACCATGGGGACCTGCTGCTGCAGCAGGTTTTTTTCCTGTGGTTTTCCTCCGCCTGCTGCACACGTGCAAAGCCAGGGAGCAGTGCTTCGTTAGCTGCCAATGACTGATTCCAATCCCATCCGTGCTGCTGCCGTGGGGCAGGCTGGCACGGCGTGGGGCTTACCTCGAAGTGCCAGAGCCCCCCGATGTCCCTGCTCCTCTCGAAGCAGGTGGGTACCAGCCCCTCATCCAGGCAGCATTTCAGGGCACACAGGCCAGAGACACCAGCCCCAATGATGGCTACTTGCTGAGGAGCCATGTCCTGTGGTGCGGTGGTGGCAAGGATGGCAGGGAAGCCTCGGCCGGGGGCAGCGTGTGCTCGGCGGGGTGCGGAGCCTGGTGCTCACACCGGGGGAATGTGCCGTGCTGCTCAGTCGGGGATGGCTGTCCCTGTCCTTCCCGTGGGCGACTGAGGCCAGCTGGGGTGTCACAACTGTGTTTCTTCCAGACATGATCTACAGGTCCACCCTGCCACCGTGCCACACCTCCTGCCTGCACCCGCCCTCTGCAAGGGGCTCACGAGGTTCTGTAAGCGCTTAATGATGCCAATGCTGCCCCAGGACTTCCTGGGTGGGAGGGCCAAGATGTGGCCACACTCCAGATTTTGGCAGGATGCGGTGTGGAAAACAAAACCCAGGGATGTTCAGGGCACTGGTGGCTGGCAGCCGTGCGGGCCC